TTTTAAAGGATTTCACAGAGTCAACGAAACGTAGTTGTAGAGGTAGACTGTTCTACAGTCTTGGTGCCACAGACGGAAAGGCTCTGTCCCCTTTCGTCTTCAGTCATGTTCGGGGAGCAACCAACAAACTCTGAGTCTGTGAGCGGAGACAGCGAGCAGTAGTGTATTTTGTGAGAAGCTTGGATAAATAATCTGGGGCTTGGCCATTTAGTGCTCTGTACGTTAAAACAATAATTTTAAAACGAATTCTAAAATCTATTGGGAGCCAATGTAAAGAATATAAAATAGGAGTGATGTGAGCTCACTTGCTAGAGCGAGTTAGTAGTCTGGCTGCTGCGTTTTGTATAGCTTGGAGGCGAGAAAGAGATGATTTATCTAAGCTGGTAAACAGGGAATTACAATAATCTAAATGCCATGTAGCTATGTAAACAGCTTCCAAAGATACCGCCATAGCTCTCTGCAGCTGTAACATGTTCACGCTTTGCAAATTGTGATAGTTAATCGTGATACGTTTTTGATAGTTATGAAGAAAGAATATGTTTTTAAGGTCATGCTAGGCGGTTGCTATGGTGGTTGCTGTGGACTAGGGTGGACTGCGCGTCCGAATCCTGTTATAGCTGTCCGCCGTAGGAAGGCTGCGTTCCATTCAGAAGTAGCCACAGTCTGCTGTAACTCTAACTCAAACCCCATTTTGTTCTTTAATTATAGGCCTTTTATAACCGTTCATCCTTCTGAAATGTGTTGTGAATGAATGCTGATGCAACTCACTGTGGGAAAGCTGTTATGTGACACATGCAACACATTCACAAGGAAGAGAACACAAAGGGAGGACACGCAGAGGCTGTGTTAAAGTCAGAAATCCAAATCTTTAGTCAAAAACAGGCGGCGGTTACAAACAAGAAGACAAGCAGTCCATTAAACAGTCTACATGGTCAAACATACAGTGAATTCAAACAGTAAAAAAATAACTGGACACTGAAAAACGTAAAGCAATGTGTGATGCAATAAAAAGAAGCAGCGCAGTATTTTCACTGAATTATCATCAATTACAAAAGAGAAACACGATGATTACTAAGGTTTGTTTTCTAAATGCAGTTAGAGTGTGGCTGGTAAAGATGGAAACATACAGAATGTAAACTGTGTGAGTTTGGTGAACTTTGTTAGTAACAAATGAGGTAAAAAAACCAAAACAGACAAAACACAGGCTCTCAGTAATCCTGAATAATTAGAAAGCATCTAAACATTCTGGATTTTTACAGTCTTAGTTCCGCTCGCTGTCATCATTATAATCATCATGATCAATGGCGAGGTCCTGAGGTGGGTGGGGCTGTCTCTGGTGATGTCACCATGAAGGAACA